AGAGATAGTTACAATATTTCGGTGTACACTTCTTCACTCGAATGTGAGTCAAACTCAAATCAAAAATAGAAAAAGATATAAAAAACGCCAACTAAATAACGCCACATTTCCCGATATACTCATGAAGTCCCTCGTAAAAAAATATTTATCTATCAGTTCAAACCTTTTCCTTCCTTCATATCTACAGTTATTTTTCTGTTTTTTACATCTATCACCCAGTTTGCGTCAGTGATTTTATTTTATTTTTTTATTTTTGTTTATGTTATAAATGTTGTTATGCCAACATTTAACCACGTGTTTCTTTTGGGGCAGATTGACTTTTTTTACAACAATCTCTCTTCTTCCTGCAATTTATTTAATTCTGTTTTATACTGAGTCCTTCATAATTAAATGCAATCGATGTTATTTTGGCAATTTTTAAATTTTTTTTTTTTTTTTTTTTTTACCTTTGAAGGAGAAAAATTTTTTGATGAGGGGAAGTTAAGTGGCATCCTTTTGCTATAAATCACCGCTCATACATTCAATTGCACTTTCTAGAATTCTTTGATTCTTCTCAGCGTCCTTCCTTGGGGAAAGTAAGGATACTATTATTGTTGATATTTTACAAGATAACCTATTTTCTGTCCAACCCAGAATTTATGTCGGCCATTTGCTAATTATTTTTCTTTTTGAGGTGTTTTATGGATCTTGGCCAATTCATGCCGTAAGTTGTTCAAGTCACGTTTATGAATTAGGCTAAATGTAGTGTAGACATTGACACCACTGCTTTCTTTAGAGTAATAACTGGTTGAATCATTGTATGAGTCATACGTGTTGATTTCTTCTATGCAAATTACTAGGCCCCCATCGGCTTATGTTGACAATGTGAATAAAGCACAACACACAGAACTGTTGACTGCTGTGGCAAGTTACCTTATTACTCCTGGATCCATTAATAATGGTTTGTATCTAGCAATATTACTAGAGAAATTCAGTCATCATTGGGAATATATGAGGTACAGAGCAAAAGTAATAGCTTCTATTTATTTTTTCTGGAAACAACAACAGTCACGGGAAATGTAATCACAGCGTTGGATAGATCACGTTTTCCGCAATTGGAAATGCATTTTTGTATGCATGCTGCGCACATACAATCTGCACCTGTAGATGCGACACACATATCACTGTCACCAAGACATTATTAACCGCTTGACTGTGCTCACATCCACCATCTGGTCTCCGTAAGCATTCTATAAGCACCGATTAGTGTCCATAGGGAGACTTTCTTTCGTATGGTAAAATTAAATGATATACTTCTGCTTCACGTGCACTTTCATGTCAGACTCTATTTTGCCAGACTGTCGCAGAGTTGCTATTTATAACAAGGCAAAAATAATTATGAACTACTGGCGGGAAATTTCAGTATCTACTGCCACAGCACCAACATCTGCCTTTAAAATAATAAAATTGGGGAGTGTTACTTTCTTGCACTAAATCTTTGAGATCAACATTATTTTTTTAATTAATAAACTTTTTGATGGGGACGAATTTTTGGTAATTTGATTCATTGGTATTTAACCTCGAGTAAGTATTTTAAAGCGAGTTTTATTGGAATATTTCGGTAGGAATATGATGACGTTATGTCGCTTGTTTGCCTCCACATCGAAATATTAATATCAAGTCAAATAAATACCTGCACTTTATAGCTGCACTAAAACAATAACACAATATTTATACTATTTATAGTCGGAATATTGTCTTCATCTTTGTTGTTTTAATCACGTTTGAACCGTTGGGCCCTCCGGCCTTCCTCAGGTTTATATTGATTTCGATAATCTACAGGAAATTCCGAACTGAATCATTTATTTAATCTACAGAGTTAGCCTATTCTTGTAGCACTGCTCATGTCTAGGGATATCTTTACCAGTTGTTATTTTTTATTTAGTACCGTTCAGTTATTGCTCGCCTGTTTCCACTGAGTGCAAAGACACACTGCCCGATCCATTTATGACATAAATGCTACAGCAATCATCACTTTCGCTCAATGTTTATTTTCTTGTCATTAAAAGAGGGTAAAAAGTTTTTTCTTCAACATAATCTTACATTGATAACAAATAAAAGCCCAAATTTTAAGATTTAACTTTCAATATGGCCATCGACGTGTTAGACGCAATGAGGGTTAGGATTGATACATTGACCAAGAAGATCCTCAGATGCCAAAGTGAGTCTCCTAAATTTATTCTGCGGCGTCCATGACCTGTAATATAGAAGGAACTCTGACCTGAGAGTACTCTTGTTTACCATTGTGTCATATCTATGATGACACTTTTGAAGTAAAACATACGATAGATAGCGCAAAGAAAAAGTGAGTTCATGCCTTTCATGTCAATGGTCAAAACCATCTCTATGGTTTACAACGAATGATCAGAAAAAGAAAAAAAATATTCTGTGGGCTGAAATTACTTGTTGACCAAAGTGGTCGGAGAAGAATGACCAGACTGGTTCAAGCTGATAGAAATGCAACAATAGCTCAAATAACTACTATTTATAACGATGATATACAGAAAAATATCTTTGAATGCAAAGCACATCCAACCTTGAAGCAGATGGGCTACAGCAATAGAATACAACTGTTATTAAGACAAGAACAACGGGCTACATTTCATTAAAGATTGGACAACAGAAGATTTTTTAAAAATCGTTACTTATTGTCTACGTCCATTCGTAGCTATCTCAGTCTATTTCTATCTATCTATCTATCTAAGAGCGTATGTTATAAAATTATAAAATGATAACAAGTTAATTTCATAGTCTATCGCTTGAAATTCAGATGCGTACAAAACTAAGTGTGTCTCTTTATACGAGTTTACTCCTGACATAAAAATGTCGGCTTATTTTGTTAAGTGCTTACTATTAATAGCAAGTTTTCACACGTGAATCTTTAAATTTTCCATATATCATTGCTGTCCTTTCATAAAGTGGGTCTTTTTCACACACACCCCTACGGCTTTGTAAAAATATTATTTCTCTATATTAGAATTATGCCGCTTGGATAAGGGCAGATTAAAACGATTATTAATAGAAAAATATATTTAAAATAAGGTTGTTATGGGCGTGTTCATTGTGCATATACTTTTTGTATTATTAATGATTCAAGAAAACAACAAAACTCCAAATGTGTATCAACAAGTGTATATTGAAATAACATACAAAAACAAAATATACATTAATTTGTATTCAATGTATAGATTGAGGGAAAAGAAGTTGCTCCCCTTTTACCGTATTTTGATTTGTAATTGATTGTTCGAAACAAAGTTCTCTTTACAGAGAAATGTTCAGGAATCAATGTTAGAACAAGTCTGCTGTTAGAATAGATAACACAAGAATACAATTGATCAGAAAGTGTGTTGTGCTAGAGAAATCAACAGAGTCTTGGTTGATTGAACTTGGCTGAGTTACAGAGAAATATGTATATATGTGTTACAAAATTCTGTGTCTGCGTTTGAAATGTGAGTAAAGTCATAGGTTTGTGTTGATAGGCGAAATTTAGTGGACTCTACTGGCGGTTTGTGAAAAAGCGACAGCTAGGCTCCCAGCGAAAATGCAGGAAAGGTTGATTTTGCACTAAAATATGTGATTGGTTAAAATTTGACCAATCACAAAATTTGTACTAATGAAACAAGTAAGCAAGTTCAAAACCGAAAAATGTGGGCGTGGAAAAACATATCAGTCGCTATAGGGTCATTTTTTGATTGAAGGGGTAGACGAATTGAAAATAGCTTGACAAGATGAAAATAAGAAAGTTTCAATTCGAAATTTCATCGTATAAACGTATTAAGAAGCAATTTTAACTTTCACCAAAAGTTGTTTCGACTAATATCCTCATCATTTCTCAAATGTATTTATCCAGCCAGTAAGTGTTCCAGATCTAAGTGTAAAGAAAAAATGTGAACAAGCAAATATGATTTTTATTTATTGAAAATTTATATTTATTTTCTTTTTGACAGCTTCGAAATCTGAAGAAAAACCGAAAATGAAACCAATATATGGCATAATTTGCGAAAAAGCAGAATTTCTTTTAACTTACTCAACATATACAGCCACCTTAAACGGTTTTGTTGCTCAGGTAAAAATCGAAGTTCAATATCTGAATCAGGACGTGGAGGCTAATGAAGCTCGTTTTGTATTCCCTGTGGAAGAAGACAGCGCTGTTTACAGTTTTGAGGCGAATATCGGCAACAAGCGTTTAATTGCAAAATGCAAGGACAAAGAGGTGGCACGTAAAGAATACGAAAAGGCTCGTGAGGCTGGCAAGATGGCGATTCTTTTGTCAGAAACAAGTACCTCGGGTGACATCTTTGAATACCGATTGGGTAATATTCCAGCCAAGGAAACTGTTACCATTCATATCTCGATGTTTTCAGAACTGTCGTGCGAATCGGATGGGGCAGTGAGATTCCATGTTCCATTTGTTCTCAATCAGCGATACGGTCAGCTTCCGAAAGACGAAGTGTATAAAAATGAACCGAAGCCAAAAGAATTCAGTTTCAACGCTACTGTCAACTGGCCGTCCGGAATAGAACAGATAAAAGCAGAAGACGCCAATCAGAAAATAAAAAGTTGAATTTAAGGACGACAAAAAGGCAAGCATTGGTGAGTCTAGCTGAAAAGTTCAATTTTGAAAAGATATGCTTTTCTATGTCTACTACAAGAACGTAAACAAACCGCATGCGATTGTAGAAAAGGCTGAAAGCGAAGGGAAGGAGTTGTTTGGACAAGATGTTATGATGGTTAACTTATTTCCGCAATTACCAGACTTTAAAGAACAGGTCGGTCAGGAATACGTTTTTATTGTCGACCGTTCGGGCAGCATGCAAGGTAACAAAATAGAATCAGCAAAGCAAACATTGTTGTTCTTTCTGAAAAGTTTGCCTGTTGAATGCGCATTCAACGTTATTAGTTTCAGCAATAGTTATGAACTTTTATTTGCCGACAGCAGCAAACAATACAACGAGGAGTCAATGGCGGCTGCTCTCAAATTTCACAGTGAATTGATCGCGTCTGGAGGCACGGAACTACTCCGAACCATTCGCTCTTTGTCATCGTTGACACCCTATAAGGGCTACTTCCGGCAAGTATTTCTCATGACAGACGGTGAGGTTTACAACACTAAAGAAGTTATCGACGCTGTCAAATCACAAACAAAAGAATCCCGTTTCTTTACCGTTGGAATCGGGTCCGGGGCTTCTACGGAACTAGTGAAAGGCATTGCTCGCGCTGGCCACGGAAAAGCAGAGTTTGTAATGGAAAATGACAATTTAAATAAAAAGGTTATGTCTTTGCTTAAACTGTCAATGCAACCGGTTGTTAGTAACGTTTCTTTAGTTGCTAAAAGCGGCCAAGAGAAATTCTCATTCACCCCGGTGCCAAAACACATGCCCAGCATTTTCTCCGAGGAACGTTTCATTCTTTATCTCATTCTCGATAAAGTCGACAAGGACCTCAAATCAGTCACTTTGACGTTGTCGGGAAAAGTTGGAGAAGCAAGATTTTCACAAGATTTCACGGTTGATTTTGACGGTAAGAATATAGTTGACATGTATGTCCACCGGCTGTGCAGCCGCAAAATGGTGCAACAATTGGAAGAAGACGACTTGGGTGAGAACGAAGGAAAAAATAAAGAAGGCATCATACGCTTAGCAACTGCAGCCAACTTGGTTTCCAAATACACGGCCTTCCAGGCTGAATGTGATATTCCAAATGCATATTGTGACGTACAAATGATGTGTTGTGCCAGCTTTTCGCTTCCGATGGTGCCCCAATATTTTTGCATGCAAGCACCAGGAGCTACAGCCTTTTTAGGGGGTGCTAGTCAGGCTTTGAAGTCACGTGATGTTATGGTGGATTATACGTCTGATGATGAAGATGGAAGCGAGAACTCCAATGATTTCATGATGTCCATGCTATGTGATAAATCCCAGGAGTCCATCGAACCGGCCGTCGCCAAAGACACTTTAATGTATTTAATCACATTACAAACTTTTATCGGCAGCTGGAAACTAGATGAACATCTGGCTGGGTTCTTCCACATGCCACTTGCAGAACTTCAAAACAAAAAACCAACTGTAAGCGATGAAATCTGGGGTACTGTACTTGCTGTCGTTCTAATGAGGCAAAAATTCTGCCAACAGAAACTCGAATGGGAATTGATTGAGAACAAGGCAATTCGTTGGCTCGAATCTCAATCACTGGGACAAATCAGTCTTGGCGATCTGTTTGCAGCCGCTAACAAATTAATGCCAAAAGACTAAACACAAAAGAATCAGCTACACGCCTCCCCCACCCCGTTGGCAATTATAATGAAAATGTTCATTGAGAATATTGAAGCATTGAAACTAAAATAATTACAAATAACAACAAACGCTTTAACACTTCAATAAATATATATTCATATTTGCAAAATAAAAAATCCACATTTATTAAACCTAATTCGTATCCATATGTATGTGTGTGTGTGTGTGCGTGCGTGTGTGTGTGTGTGGCCACTGATGTCAACGCCGAGCAGCGACAGTTGTATTTGTGAATGCAATCTGCAGGCCTTGTGTGTTCTGTTTTGGATCGATTATTTATATACACGTATGTCAATGGTATATTATAAGTAGCAAGGTCTTTTGTATTATCCCAATGGTTATTGGATAGGTGATAATGGTAATATTTGAAATTATTCATTTTAAGCATTCCTTCACGCTATATTTGTTTATTTATTTCTAAGGAATTAATGAATTTCCAATTTAATCCGACATTATAAACTCAAGCGTACACACGCTTACTAATAGTAAAAGCCCAAATATTGAATTCCGAAGGACCTGTATAGGGAAATATTGAAATTCTGTTTCAGTAGCTTGCAATGGCGCCTGACATCCATATCGGGGGGGGGGGCATCCAATCAAAGAATGAAATAAAAATTTAGTTTATATTTAATTTGAATAAAGGATTTATTTCATGTTTCATTTGTTTTTCCATTTTTAAAATGTCTTCCTTTCTCACATTTCTCTGTATTATGCCCTATAGCCCCGTACTTAAGTCTTAGGGGCAGGGAATCAAGCAGTTGGCCCCGGGAATCACCAAACACACTATAGGAATAGATAAGATCGCCTATCGTCCGCTTCTTACAAAATTCTATTTAAGATTGATTTTCCAGTCTCTTCAAAAAATTTCTAACGTCTCCGCCAGAACGGTGAAATTTTACTCGTTAATTAAATTTTGACCTCTTCATGTCTACAATTCTCTATCTTGCACTAATACAACTCCACACATTAAGACTCTACCTTGAGTGGCCCTTGAGCTTTGTATTGGGTGAACATTAGTAAAAAAAAAAAAAAGAGAGAAAGAAAGAATGAGTGAAAAGAAGAGAGAGAGTGAGAGAGATTTAAAGTCGAGAAGAGAAAAGTTGAAGATCGAGTGGAGGCGCACGACGTTTACTTATGGATGAGAGTCTGATAAATGAATATTGAAATAATGAGAGAAAGATGAAGGTGAGAAAAAAGAAAGACAATGAAAGAAGGAAAGAGAAAGAAAGAGAAGAAAAGAAAGAAAGTAAGGTTGAAAAACATTAAAAAGAAAAAAGGATAAAAAGGGGAGAAAGAAAAACGAAATGAAAAGGGAGAATAAGACATTGTGGTCGCCATTATTAGGAAGTTGTTACTCGTCCATCTGAGTTCGATCCTCTGAACGTCACTCTACGGTTCTTCCAAGACTGAGTTCCACGGACTACCAATCATCAGGTAGAAAGCATAAGCAATTTTGTTATTTGTTTACATACTTTTGTACCTCTGAATAAGTGTATATACAGATGAATTGCCTGTATGTAGTGGACTCTTCCGGTGGCGAAAGAGAAACCTCATAACATGTTTACAGTGATTTTTCCAAGCGTAACTTAGATGTGGCAAAGTATGGAACATCGAACTTACTACTCAGTCATAATTATTCTAGCGAGACAAGCTTGCTAACCATTACACCGTCTCGAAGTGTCCAACAATATTTCCATACATATACATTTATTACGTTGAAAAAAAACAATTCACATTGTGATTGGATCTGTAGATAAATAAACCTTTAAAGTAAAATTATGTTCATGTATATGAAAACTACTTTCATTGAATTCTTTACATTTGTAAGCAGAGGATAAGGGAAAGATCTCCATACCGAACAGATAATCAAATAAATTCATGCGGATTTTTAGATTCTATTATCACCTTAAATAACAAAAGAAAAAATTTTCGAATATTAAGAAACCGTAAGACAACATGTTGAGCAAAATGAAAATCTGCACCGAGATTTATCGCCTCAAAAGTTTCAGGAGTGTTATACTTCAAAATAGCAACGAAAGCTATAATAATAGTCCCCCAAAGTAGTGGACTTGTCGATTGTACGAAGTGTGAATGAAATTTAGTAAAAGCAATCAGTAGAACCCACTGTACTTAGTAAATTCTGTGAGTAAAGCAGAAACTTTTTTACTTCTTAGTTTAAGAATTTGAAAAATAAATTAGCTTTTTGGTATAAGACGCCCTCTCCCCACACAGACACAAGCACACAAAATATATTTAAAAATGTGTCCTGGGTTTGATCTCCAAAACTGACATATCTGGTCGGCTACCAGTAATTGTACTGGGCTTCTGACATCATAAACAAAGATATTCGTCCTTTTAAAGCTTTATTTTTAGCGATAATTCCTTTTTTTTAAGTATCACCATCATCAAAAGCATCAGCTGCAACAACAACATTAATAAATGTTTCTACCGATACATTCCCCGGTCTTTGCCAAGGCTATAGTGGATCGAAGTATTTTAGGTCAGAATCTGTTTTAAAAATTATGTAGTCTTTGTTAAATTTTAATAGCATTTCAATTCGAATAAATCACAAATCGGAACGACAAAGTTTCCTATTAGGCATGTTGTAAATAAGACCTTTTGCTTTTTAATTTCTAGTAAACAAAAAAAAAGCAAGGAGCAGGAGGACCTTTGATTTTGAAACATTTTTAACACTTTTTTCTGAGAATAAGTCTGAAAGCAGGAAAAAAAGCTGAGAATAAGTCTGATGAAAGCAGGAGGTAACACTTTGATTAAGCTGAGAATAAGTCTGATGAAAGCAGGAGGTAACACTTTGATTAAGCTGTGAAACAATGAGATGAAGAGCAGGAGGTAACATTTTTATTAAGCTGAGAATCACTCAGATTAAAACCAGTAGGTGACACATTGATCAAGCTGTCAAACGAAGAGAAGAATGTAACAATTAGATTAGCTGTAAATATGTCAGATGGAGAACAGGAAATAACACATTGATAAATCAGAGATACAGTCAGACGAAGAGAAGGAGGTAACATTTTGATTAAGCTGAGCATATATGAGATGAAGGGTATCATGTAACACTTTGATTCAGCTGAGAATATGTGAGACGAAGAGCGGGAGTTAAAATTTTGATTGAGCTGAGAAACAGTCAGATGAAGAGCAGTAAGTGACATTTTGATTAAGCTGAGATGAAATCGGAGGAAAACGAAGTAACACTTTGTTGTAGAGTAGTTTTCACAGTGGAGGCTTGTATTTTCAACTAAGTCGTCCTAAATTAGGTTCGACGTACAAAATGTTAGGAACTTGAAATAAGAGTTAATGACGCAGCAATCTAGTTGTGATGGTTGATACTTCAATGTCCGACATCGACTGACTCACTCAACACCACTGAGCTCAACTGGCCACTGCTACTACTACTTATTATCTGTGGAAGAGTCTATTACAATAGAATAGGTAATGTTCTGGTATAACACACTTTGATTAAGATTAGATGCAGTTACATGAAGAGAAGGAGGTAACACATTTATTAAGCTGAGATGCAGTCAGAGGAATAGCAAAAGGTAACACACTGTTTACGCTGAGAAGCTGTCAGATGAAGAGCATGAGGTTACAATTTCATCACGCTGAGAATAAGTCAGATGAAGAGCAGGAGGTAACACCTTGATTAAGTTGTTAGACGGAGAGAAGAAATTAACAAATAGATAAAGCTGAAAATATATGAAGAGGAGGAGGCAACACTTTGATAAATCAGAGATACAGTCAGATGAAGAGAAGGAGGTAACATTTCGATTCAGATAAGAATATGTCAGATGAAGAGCAGGATGTAACAAATAGATTAAGATGAAAAACAGTCAGATGAAGAGGACGAAGGTAACATTTTGATTAAACTGAGAAATAGTCAATGAAAAGCAGGATGTAACACTTTGTTTAAGCTGAGAAGCAGTCAGATAAAGACCAGGAAGTAACATTTTTATTAAGATGAAGAGGACGTCGATGAAGAGCAGGTGCTAAAAAATTGCTTATACTGAGAAACATTCAGATGAAGATCAGGATGTAACATTTTGATTAAGCTGAGAATATGTGAAATGAAGGGCAGCATGTCACACTTTGAATAAGCCGAGAATATGTGAGATGAAGAGCAGGTGTTAACACTTTGATTAAGCTGTCAGACAAAGACAAGAAGGTAACACACTGTTTAAGCTGAGAAGCAGTCAGATGAAGAGCAGGAAGTAACAATTTGAATACGCTGAGGATATGTGAGATGAAAAGCAGGAAGTAACACTCGGATTAAGCAGAGAAACAGTTAGATCAAGAGCAGAAGGTACGACTTTGATGAACCTGTCAGTCGAAGCGAAGTTACCAATTAGATTAAGTTGAAAATATGTCAATTGAAGATCAGGGGGCAACACTTTCATAAATCAGAGATACAGTCAGAGTAAGAGCGGGATGTAACACTTAGTTAAGCTGAGAAACAGTGGCATGAAGAGCAATAAGAAAAACTTTGATTAAGCTGAGAATATGTTAGATAAATGGCAGCATGTAACACTTTGATTGAACGGAGAAGCAGTCAGATGTCGAGCAGGAGGTAACAATTTGATTGAGCGGAGAAGCAGTCACGAAGAGCATTAGTAATCACTTTGATTAAGTTCAGAAGAAGTCATATGAAGAGCAGGAGGTAACACTTTGATTAAGCTCAGAAGCGGTCAGATGATGCTGGCCAGATTCTTCAATTTGAAGATTTTTCTGCATTCATGAAGTTTTATAATGAAATGGTCACTTGTTTTGAACTGTTTTGCTAATTCTCTTTAAATTTGATTCAGATTTTCCTCAATTATGCATTGCTGAACTTTCGTCTTCTAAATCATGAGGAATTGTCGAGATAAGTTTTCCAACTAAAATTGACCAAACTTCTTAACATTTCCTGTCATTTAAAGTATCATTTCCATAGACAGAGCAAATATTAA